CTCCAGTCTCTCACATTCCAAAGCATGCTCTAAATCTCTTCACGAACAATCTTCCTAAACACAGCACTGATCATATCATTGTCCTGTTCAAATACCATCAATGACCCTCCACTGACTTCTGAATTAAATTCCACCCCCTCAGCCTATCAGATCAAGACGTCAGTGCTTTGCAATTGGCTTTGGAATCAGACAACTTGGTTTCACATTTTAACTTGCACTTACATGATGGGTGTCACTTTGAGTGGGTGGCCTAACTTCTTTCTTGGTTTGCTTATGGATAAAAAACTGGATCCCACCACCCACCCCAGAAGATCACTGTTGAGACTAAATAACATATTTATAGTGCCAGCAGTTCTTGCACATAGTAGGCACTCAAGAAGAATTCCTTCTTCTTCCCATCTTTTCAGCTTTATCCCCACTTCTCTCCTAAATGTACTACTTGTCAAAACCAAATTGTATTACTAACTGTTCTCTCACATCTTCTTGGAAAGCCTGTTACTCTTATCCTGTCACTTTTAAAAGTCCGACTCATTCTTCAAGGGCATGTTTACATGCTATTTCTTTCGTGTATTTGTTGTGTGGCACTTTTCACCTCGGCTTTCTAGTCTTATCTACTAAAATGAGGGCAGGGATTTCTTTATATCCCACAGAGCACAATGCCCTAACCTAACAGGCAATCAATAAGTGTGTGCTGAATTAATATGGAAAACTTGAGCTTTTGATCTCTGGAGAGTCCGTTCATTTGTGATTCATACTTCACACTGAGGCCTCTTTGGAAACAATCTCTGGCAGGCTATCAGAATTTCAAACAACTCTAACAGAGAAGCTGAGTCAGTTTAGGATTAAGTTCAGTCCTAGTTCAGCCAACAGGAATTGTCTGGACCCTGTTCCTGCTTGAGATATCATAATTTGCAGTCTGTGTGAGCCATGGGAGCTCACTTGAATAAATTTAGATGACAACATATTTGTCTTAGGAACAGGCAAGCAAAAATGCATGATACCGATAAAAACCAACCACTGTCAGGTTGACAATGACATTGGCTTCCCTGGTCTAGAAAAGAGTACCAAAGAGCCATTTGGTTTCATAAGTTCTAAATGTGGCTCCGTTAAAAGGTAACTATATGTTACTCTGGCTTTTATCCAATTCATTTCCTCTTGGCCCAGCTAGCAAATGGGTAATTATATGACATCAGCCACCATGGAATGGCTGGAACATAAGGTGTCTTCATGCTGCCACATAAGGTGGCACCAAGTTTCTGAATCACCAACCACAGGTGCACTGACTCTTCCCCCCACCACATACCCTCCTCCATAAAAACCACCTTATCTGATATTGCTGTTGACATAGTGACTACACTTAAGTCCTGGGCACTTTCCTTTGCTGCTTCCTAGTGTTTGTTCGGGTGGGTACCTCCGTGCAGTCTACAGTCTATAAACGAGTACTTATGGTGCAAGATAATCATCCAGCCATCAGGTCATGATTTTGCCATTAGGTGGGCTTGCCTCAGAAAGTAGCAGCATATGTAATTGCTGAGGCCACACCTGGCTGACATGCTAGAGGGGCTGAACTCCCTTCCTAGCCAAATACCTAAGGAGCAGAGCTGCTGTCGGTCACTGAGTTGATTCTTAGCCCGGATTCTATCAAATGATATATTATCAAGTGTCATGTGGTATAACTAGCACGTCCTGTGGGTTTTGTGGAGGAGATGGATCTCAAGCTATCACTTAAGACAGGATTTGAATAAGAGAAAAATAATGCAGAAAATCTGTGCAGTTTCCTTACTATGTATAACCATATAAGTAAAATAAGCAGAATCTGGTCCAAATCCATGGATTTGGGGAACTTCCCAACTATAGCTTTGAGAAAAAAGATGGGGCCAAGTGAGAGGAAAAGTAGGGTTCCTGACCAGTTTCTTTCAAGTCTTCAAGGTATAGGAAGACTTGTATGACTGAAAAGTAGACCTACAGAAATAGTTTCGGTAGCTGAGGTAGGTCAAATTATGAAGACCACTCAGTGCCAAGATCAGAGTTAGACTTAACTGGCATCTGTGAAAAAGAAATCACCCCAAATTCTTAGGCAAAGGGATATCATGATCAAAAAATTGTTTTAATCAGGACAATGTAGTATCAAAGTAAAAACTATAGTGGAATGAAAAGAAAACTGGTGGTAGGAAAACCGGTTAGGGAGCTGTTCCAGTAATGCAGTACAGCATGAGAGCTTGAACTCTGGTGGTAACAGTTAAAAGGCAAAGGGATGGGTCACAGAAATTAAGAAGAAAGTGTTGAAAGTACTTACTAACAGACTGAACTATAGGGATAAAAGAGGTAAGGTTGTAAACCTGGAGAAAAAGTGTTGCATCAACCAAAAGAAGAATGTTGAAAAAGAAGTTAACTTTGAGCAGGGAAAATTTAATTTAGTCTTGGGAATAATGAATTCAAGATGAACATTTAAATCTTACAGGCAATTTAAGTAAGAATTAGAGTTTAGATGAAAAGATAGGGCTGGAGATACAATTTGCCAAATACTGTTCATAAGTTCAATAGTACTATTGATGTAACATTTTAAATGTTAAGTTTAATGTATGAAACACTAAGAAAAAGTTAAAATGGCTGATAAACGAATCCTATTAAAAGTAGAGTATGTGACTGTTGGTTCACTCGTGAGCTGGTCCTACTAAAAAAGGATGATACTGTGTAGCTTGTCACACTAGAGTGAAACTCAAGTCAGTTAACTTCTAAAACAATCTAATGTACAACCTAAGAGGTTCTGTAACTCAGGGAAGTAGAAAAGAGAAAAATGAGAACTCTTTAAAGGCAAGGTAACCTTGGAATAGTTTCTTTGAGGATGACACAGAAACGAATCAAAAGCATTGGTTTTATTCTCCTTGTGGCATATTATTAGTTCTGTAGTCCAGCTAATAGCTTTACCAAAAGAAAGCTCCCACAAGCTATCTGCTACCTGAAAGAGTTAGTAAGCTTTCGCCAGGTGCCTGTCAGTAAATGATCTAGCCTTCAGGCCACTTAATCTCTGCAAATAGGATAAAATCTCTCATAGCTGAGTTCATTTTCAAACATTAAAGCCACAGTCCCTTCAATGCAAGCTGGATGCACTGGCCATGTGAAGACAGTTGATACCTGTTAAAGTCATTGTGGTTATAAAGTATAAACAATAACCTATAGCAGGGAATCTCAAAATGTGGTCCCCAAGACCCAGCAGCGTCAACAGCACCTGGGAATTTGCAAATTTTCAGGCCCAACCTCCGATACACTGAATCAGAAACCCTGTGGGCAGGGCCCAGTAATCAGTGTTTTAATAAGCCTTCTAAAACCGATTCAGATGTGCATTAAAATATGTGACCCATTGATCTAGAGGAGCCAAAATATTTCTATGCAGCTTCCATACTACATGTATAAGAAAAGCAATGAGAGTGGGTGGCCAAAATTCAAGACTGACCATTTCCCCAAAGATTATATTCAGGAAGAAGAGCAGGAGCTCTCTCCATTATTTCTCCATCACATTAAGCCTGTTAATGACCTCAAAGTTAATGAGGGCATTGAAATGAATGGGTCAGCTAGCATGCCTCAAAGCTTCCTTGTGTATGTAACTTAGAAATTCTGTATTTCTACATTTCTGCTGTGTAACTGTGAATGAACACATCCTTTCACATAACCACATTCCGGTTTACCATGAACAGACAACAATGCTAAGCAAATCATAAAGAAACTTGATTTTGTTTGCTTCGGAGCCTGTTCTCTTCTAAAGGATTTCATTTCTTTGAGATTGAGCTGCTTTTTACTACCAAGTAGGGGAAAGTATGATTTGTCCTAGGTAAAAGAAAGGATATACTGATGTGCTCATCCTCAGCAGATTGGTAAATCAGAAGCAGAGCACATGATGGAGTGTGAGGCTGCACATCCTCAAGCCATGCCTCCTTTATTTGATCCATGCTCCTCTAAAGTTACCTTCAGAATCAGCAAAGAGAACTTGGATGGAAGGACAGAGGCAAATCCCAAACCCCAAATATGCAAAGGGAATGACAAGGTGAAGCAGAAAGCTAAGCAAAATGAAAAATGAAACAAAGAAAATAAGAGGCATGAGATCAGAGCTGACTAATAAATTAGAAGGGCACCAGTCAAGTCAATTATATAAGGCAGTCCTCCCCACCTTTCTTTTTCTGGAAGAATGCCTTATGGCTCTATCATTTTCCTTCAGTTGAAGTGAGTGAGGCAAGTGTTAAGATATTGTTTCATAGAGGAAAACACTTGAGATTCTGGTATAAAGGGCAAAACCTGGGGCTTTGATGCTCACCTTGAATATAGTGACTATAAGGTTTATTTCATTTACTTATCTAAAACCTATGGCCTAATCTAAATTTGCTTCTGCGGTTATGTGGAACAAACTGCTTCAGTTTGCCTTAAAACTAACCTGAGCATCTTTTAAAGTATTCATCAATAAAGAGTCTTCTGCAAATTAAGATCCTGTGAATAACTTGTGCTTGGTTTTCCTATGCCATCTTTTGGTACCAGAATATTCCATGGGAAGGCAGGTCTCAAAACTCCACTTCTACAAATTTCTACTCATCAGAAAAATTCTAAAAGAGGCTTGACAATTCCAATTACTCACTATGTGCCTAGCAAAATTAGCAATTTAATGAAAGAGGAAAAAGGAAATGGATGAGAAACAGGAAAGGAAAAAATGAAATAAGAGTATTGAAAAAATTTATTTCACAGAGTTGATAGGGAGTCTCCTGATCATTCTTGTCCACATTGCTATTCTTTCCTCTTATTGAGAACTCCTGCAAAAACTCGTTGTATACCTAATTCGGCACTTACTATAAATGCACATGGTGGTAGTTACATCTACTGTATATCTAGTATTATGTTAAGGTCTTAATTAGCAAGCACCTTGAGGGCAGGAACGCTTGTTACCTTCTGCTCCTTTGGGCCCTCTCTAGGGCCTGGCTTGAGCCTTGCACTTAAGGTCTAGTGATACTGAGTAACTGTAAAGCTAAGTGGAGACATGGGGTACACTGTGGACCAAACTTAGAATTAATTTGGAGTAAAGGGGCATAATAAAAAGGTGCATGAGGTTGTACATCTTTCAGAATATGTATGTGGGTAGGAAAATTGAGCTGAAAAATGAAATATCTGATCCCAGATGATAATTTCTTCCCCACTATTTATTCCTGGTCAAGGTTTTGTTTTTTCGTTTTTTTCTTTTTTTCTTTTCCTTCCAGCATCAGCCAGGTACAGAACAAGAGGAAATAATGATTTAGTTATTGCTCCAATGCTAAAGTTTGACAGTCATCCAGAGCAGGTTCCACTGTTCGTCCCTGCATGTCTTGGGCCTTAGCAGCTGTGCACAGAGCACCATGGCTCCAAGGGCCAGAGTGGGGGCCAGTGCTGGACGCCTGAATTGTAAGCGAGAGAGATGAAAGGCTTCTTCTCATGTAATAACTGACGGCCCTCACTGCCGTTTGAACTGTTTACAGACTGAGTTAACGATTACAAGCAATGTAATCAGAAAATTCTTACCCACCCGTCAGATAGTATCAAAGAGCCCTTCCATGCCTGGCTGGAGTCCTTCCAAAGCACCTCACAGAGATGCCGACACAAAAGGAGGAGTGTTCAGAACGTGTTCTCTCTCTTCTGAAGCCAGAGGAAGACAGAGTATCAGGCAGGAATCAGGTGCTGAGGGGGCCGAGTTTCCAGGACTCCTCAGGACTGGGGAAAGGGTCAAGGTAAGCACTGGGGCCAGGAGAACCAGATTCCTTTATAAGCAGTTGAAGAGGTGTAGGTAAGAGTCTTCACGGCTGGCAGCCAGAGGGTGAAGAGGGTAAGGAAACAAGGCCCTTGAAATGAAGCAGAAATCGGCACCAACACATGACAGAGAAGCCCCTCAGACAGATCTGTAAGGCTGGGTGATTTTTCTGAGGCAGCAAACACAGGAGAGAGGGAAGTATATTGTTCTTTCTTAGGGCAATGCACAAGTTGAAAAAGAACATCACCTCAAGACTGGGATAGTATAGTGCTTGAAAAATGATAAAGAAAGTCTGGGGAAGCTAAGAAGACACCTCTTTCTTGGGGTGAGGCCCAAGAGACTGAATGACATCTGTTTGAGCATTATCAAGTGTTGTTCACACACATACATATGTGTATTAACCATGATATAAAATGGAAAACTGGTTAACTTATGACAGAAAAATAGACTTAATACCCATAATACCAGAAAAGCTTTCTGGGAACAGCAAATATTAAAGAGTACTCAAGCCAGGGAACACTGAGTCTAATTATTAATTATATACTAACTTATGGACTCCAAAGGAAGGTTGTAGAAGTTTTTATTTCCTTAGTAAGTACTGTTGGCCTCTGAATACATTTGAAAGTGGAACAAATGGCAGCCCGTAAATATAAGATTATTGCATAATCATTCCAGAACTATTATCACCACTACAACTCAAAGAGGGGAATACCTGTCTTCAAAATCTAAGGAGGGTTTTGGCTTTTTTATTTCCATAGATGTCCTGATGTTGAGGGAATAGACTTTATAATTTATCACAAAATGCTCTCAAAAGAAAAGCATTTTGAGGACAGTGGATACAAGTCACGCTTTCTATCCATATATGAATATAATCATCATTCTTACATTATGCTTCCTTGAATTTCCTTTACAGCTTCAATTGGATATGGTTGTTTTATTCTCCTGTCCTAACTTGCTGGGTAATGTTGTTCCTATGGAGCAGCTGGTGACCCACCCTGTGTAGCGGGGGATACGCCTTCACGATAAAAGACTATTCTTCAGACTATCTACCTGGAGGTGGAGATGAACTTGACATTATTTTGATTACTGTGTAGGTCAGGAAACTGATTTGATTGTTGAGATTCACCTTAATGTTTTCTATTTTCTACAAAAGACTACAACCCGTGCACTTACTTGCACAATGCCTTGAATAGAGACCCAACTGGATATCGCTGGGTTGTTTCAGAGAAGCACTTCTAACATTCTTTAGACTCCTATCTACTGGGGATACTTTTTTCTCCTGGGAAAAGATTAGAGTTCAGTTTGATTGTTAGAATAGAAATCAAAATCTTGTTGGCACTGAAACTGTAGGAAGAATGGGTTAGTGGTAAGCTTGAGAGGTAAAATTACAAAAGTAAATCCCATCAGTTGATGGTGAATTTTATGAAGAAATCCAGATAATCCCTTAGAATTTGGCCCCATACTTATCTAGAATATAGACTCAAAGAAGGAAGAGATCATGTCTCCAGGCTTTCTTTTTAGATGGTTATCAATGACTTGATATCAGAACAAAGAAAAGTAACACACTGAATATTGTACACATGGAGAGAAATAATTTAGAAAGTTATTAGGGAAACAGAAGTGAGCAAGAACTTAGAGGGTGATATCACTGCAGTTTTGAAATATGCAGAAACATGACAGTCCAGCAGTCCTACTTTCACTGTGCGGGTGAGGATACGCCTGGAGCTGATACGCCTTACTTTGTAGAGCAGAGGAATACTCAAGAAGTTTAAAGCAGGCCAACAAAAGGATAGAAAGACTTGAGATGATTCACAGGGAAAGGCAGGGGCCACCTAGATGAATCCTTTTATGGATAACAACAGGAAGGCTATGCGATAGTTAGTTCCCCAGGAACAGGACTGCTCCAGATGCGCTGGCTCCACTGGAAAACCAGCTTCAACTCTAGGACTCCTGCAGGGTCAGGGGAGTGGGAAATGGTCCATTTTCATCCTCCCCATTCCTCTTACCTTCAGGGTTGTGAAAATCTATGGCGGCATAATGATTCAACTATTTTACAGATATTCCGCCTTGTCTAGAGAGCCAAACTCTACCACAGGGTTCTTGACAGTGGGGCCTGGTGCTGTATATCAAGGGGAAAACAAAGTTCCTTTTCACTTTTCCATATAATAGGTTTGCATGGACAGATAGACAATATATGGAATATTGTTACTAAGAAACACGCATTTCCTTCTTCACAAGCTAATTACTACAACCTCTGCCTTGAGTACCTAGCAAAACTAGCAAATATTAAACAGGATCTGAAATTCCTTTGGGGAATAATATCAAGTAATGGATCTGAGGCAGCCAAGTGATCTGTCATAGCATGACCTACCTATTCCAAGATTATAGAAATGGTATTGTCAATACGGTGCAATATAATGTGATGGTAAGTTCCCTAGCTTTAAACTTATACATTATTCCTGATCAGAGGTCTGGATTCATGTAAGATGTATCTAAATCTACTATCATAGCAATGGCTATGAAGTTATTCATTCTTTATAATGGAAAATTTATTATTGTGTACACTTGAACTCCTAGAGACAGTCCTAGGTCCCTGATAAGTAAATCTATCATGGTAATGAAATCAGAAAGCTATAAAACACAAAAATATGAGCGACATTCATTTGGAAGGAAGATCATGTTACTTAGTCCCTCACCGTAAAGATCAAGTGTTAAGCAAATTCGGAAAAAAAAAAAAGATTAGACTGGTTCTGCAGCTTAAGAAAGAAAAGAAATGTGGTTTCTCTAGCTAAAGGTTTTCTAGATGATGTAGGAATGGCTGCTTAGAGACTGCTTTCCAAACAAATTTGCAAAGGGGTAACTATAAACATTTCATTGACACATTACAGTAAAATCCTCTAGGAAGCAGCTTTACCATTGAGGATAGAGAAAACTGCAGGTGCTGTCATTTCAGTTCTTCTCTTTCATTTGCTGTATTTTTTTT